CCTAACCTAACCTAACCTAACCAACCTAACCTAACCTAACCTAACCTAACCTAACCTAACCTAACCTAACCTAACCTAACCTAACCTAACCTAACCTAACCTAACCTAACCTAACCTAACCTAAGCTAACCTAACCTAACCTAACCTAACCTAACCTAACCTAACCTAACCTAACCTAACCTAACCTAACCTAACCTAACCTAACCTACCTAACCTAACCTAACCTAACCTAACCTAACCTAACCTAACCTAACCTAACCTAACCTAACCTAACCTAACCTAACCTAACCTAACCTAACCAAACCTAACCTAACCTAACCTAACCTAACCTAACCTAACCTAACCTAACCTAACCTAACCTAACCTAACCTAACCTAACCTAACCTAAGCTAACCTAACCTAACCTAACCTAACCTAACCTAACCTAACCTAACCTAACCTAACCTAACCTAACCTAACCTAACCTAACCTAACCTAACCTAACCTTTTTTTTGTATAGAAGTGGAAATCTTTGATAGACACCAAGCGCCTTAGGTTCTATCGGCGCAAGGTAGTGCAGGATTCTCCTCCCCAAGGGGAGGCCTACCCGCTAAAACCACTCCTCGGCCACGTTTCCTAGCTGGGCAGGAACGCACTAGGTGTGCTCACTTCTGCCCAGCGGGCCTCATCTTCTCCATTGCCTCACTCCCTCACTTCGACAACTCCCCTCTTCTGTCTTTCGCGCTCATCCCTCTCCTTCTGAGAGAACAACTCCCCTAGCGCACTCACCACCTCTCTCCACGCCTCTCTCGTACCCGTCACACTCTCTATCAGCGTGGAAGGCGACAGTCGTCTCCCCCCCGCCACCGCGAAGACCCTGCTCCTCTGAATCTCCCACCTCTCACAATGAAAGAGCGTGTGCTCCGCCGTGTCCACTTCTTCGCAGTACATGCACCGGCTGGACCGCCACTTCCCGATACGGTGCAGGTAATCCCCGAAGCATCCGTGTCCGCTGAGTGCCTGCGTCACATAGTACGTTGTGTACGTGTGTGCACAATCAACCCAGCGGCCTACCTCGGGTATCAGCCGCCTCGTCCAGGAAGCCCTCCTCTCGTCGGCCCAGCCCTCCTGCCACCTTCCCATCGTCACTGCCCTCTCCTGCCCCCTCTCCCCGACACTACGAAACACACACTCCCTCTCCCGAGCCAGGAGATCCAGAGGGATCATCTTCGCGATGACGCATGCAGCTGGTCCCGACACGGTGCGATACGCCGAGGCCACCGCGAAACCCTAACCTAACCTAACCTAACCAACCTTTTTTTTTTTTTTTTTTTTTTTTTTTTTTTTTTTAATGAGGTTTGGGAAACCTTTTATAGGCTGCCCCCGCTTGGCTCTATGCGGGGGTGTGTGTGGGACTCCCTTCCATCTAGGTAAGGTTTACCCACTAAAACCCTATCCTCTTTCGACTCGTAGTCACTCGCCATAGTTGTCGGCATAGGGCACCGCGCTAGCATTCCTCGCTATGCCGAACGGCCGGGGTAGGTGTTCGTCCCCATAGATGTAGCCATAGTTATTTTGTATTGCCCGTCTATTGACCCCTAGTCCATGCCTCCCTCTCCCTAGTTTGGACTACGGTGATCACGAACCGCGCGATTTTGGTCCACTTGTTCTCGCTCTCTATCATCAACTGGATGATGTTTTCCGGCTGTAGGCTTGCTGCCACTTCTGTCTCGGTCTCTATTCTGCCTCTTGTCCATCTCTGGCATTCAAATACGGCATGTCCCTCCGTGTCTCTATCTCCGCAGTCCACACACTCGTCACTATCGCGTTTCCCTATCCGCAGTAAGTACACGGCATTTTCCCCGTGTCCCGTCAGGAATTGGGTCAGATGATAGCCCACTTCTCCGTGCAGCCTGTCGACCCAGTTATCCAGGTTCGGGATGAGCTTCCTGGTCCAGGACTGCCTCCGCTCCCATCTCTCTTGCCATTCCTGGTGCAATCGCGCTTTGTCCCATCCTTCCATCCTTGCTCTTATCATAAGCTGTCCTGGTGGAAGGGCAGCTATTACCATGATGTCGTCCGACTGGACCGTTCGGTACCCGCTCGCAATTGACACTGCTAATAACCTTGTGACTCTATCGGTCATATTCACCGCTACGCCCCACTTCATGGCGGATCCCCAGACTTCGGAGCCGTACAGCACGATTGACATGACAGCCGCCGCCAGCACCTTCCTCTTTGTTGCACGAGCGCCTCCCGTGTTGGGCAGTATCTTTTTAAGAGCCTCGTAGCACCTGATTGCTTTTCCGCATACGCCGCGGGCGTGCTCCGTAAAGTATAGACACTTGTCTATCGTGATTCCGAGAATCTTGATGCTCTTTTCCGCAGTCATCCTCTCGCCGAGCACTTCCAGCGTAAATTGGTCGAGCCTCCTCTTCCCAGTCATCAAGGCCACCTTGGTCTTCTCGGGCACCAGTGTCAAGCTTCTTTGCTCCATCCAGGCCGCGATGTTCTGGATTGCCCGCTGCATCTTTCGCCCGGTCTCGTCCACGTCACGTCCTCTTGCCACTACCGTCAAATCGTCTGCGAACCCGACCACTTCTACGCCCTCCTCGTGTTGGATTCGAAGCACGCCGTCGTACATAGCTATCCACAGCAGGGGCCCCAGAACGGACCCCTGCGGCACTCCCGCACTCGAGTGGAACTCATACACCTCCCCAGAAGGTTTTTTGGCCCGCACTGTCCTGCCAGTTAGGTAGCCGCACACCAGTTCCACCGCGTAGTCCTCCGCTCCGAGGTCGCGCAACGCCCTTACAATTGCTTCCCTGGACGCCGAGTTAAACGCGTTCTTGACGTCCAGAGAGGCCACCAAACACACTTCACGCGTGCGCCACGTACCACTGTTTGCTGCGCGCACTTCGGCCACTATCTGATTTAGTGCGTCCACCGTCGACCGCCCCTTCCTGAAACCATACTGGTTCGGTGATAGCCTCTCCTCGACCTGTTGCAGCAGCCTCTCCTTTAAGATCTTCTCGAGGATCTTGCCGGCGAAGTCAATGAGGCAGATCGGCCTGAGTGCTCCAGAAGCCTTTGGGATGGTTACCAGTTGACTGCGCTTCCATTCCTCGGGGTAGATCCCGGTCTCCATGGCGGTCGTGCCAATCTGGGCCCAGATTTGCGGCTTCGCGGTTGCCACCGCCTTGACCACTTCCGCGGGAATCCGATCCGGACCTGGAGCTTTGTTGGCTGGAAGCCCTGCAGCCGCCGCCAGCACCTCCTCGCACGTCACCGGGGGGACGTTTTGCGCCGCTCTTGCCGGCCTCGGTGCCAGGTCCTGGTGTTCCGGGAAAAGTTCCCTGACAGCCTCGACGTATTCCACGTCCGTCATGATGAGCGGAGTCCTCCTTCCTAGCTTCTTGGCCACTATCTTATAGCCTTTGCCCCAGACGTCCCGGTCCAACTCGTTGCATAGAGCTTTCCAAGCTGAGTCTTTGCTCTTCATAATGAGACTTCTGAGCTTCTTCCTCTCCTCCCTCAGGCATGCCTGCTCTCTTCTAGTGTGCTGGACCCCGCACGCCTCTTATGTTGGAGTCGCCTCCTCATCCTCACGCAGATGCGTCTCTGGCTGGCGATTTCCTGGTTCCACCAGTAGACGGCGGATCTCTTACACGGTCTTCGCCTCGGCATGGTTCGATCGCAGACTTCACGAAGGTACCTGGTAAGGCTCGGAACTTGCCAAGCTCCACTCATCGGCCTCCTCACCATCGCCGTCAGCTCCACACGGTTGAGCTTCCTGCTGTTCCAGCCGGCTGCTCCTGTTGCCGCAGGCACCGGTCGAGGTCTCGACGCGTCTATTTCCCAGAGGATGTAGTGATGATCACTCAGGGTTTCCTCCTCTAGCACCTCCCACTTTGCCACTAAGTCTTTCAACCTTTCTGCCACCATCGTGACATCGATGATGGTACCGCTACCCCTACCGTGGAAAGTTGGCGCATTTCCCTGGTTGACACACACCAGTCCCAGCGCCTCGGCCCACTCTTCCACTACACGCCCTCGTCTGTTGGTGGTGACCGAACCCCAGATTACGGACGCCGCATTTAAATCGCCGGCCACTATGGCCCGCCCTACACCGTTCACCCTTATGGCACTCTGGATGTCGTCAAGTCTGGTTTCTAAATCTATTGTCGGTTCGTTTGGGGGAAGATAGATACTATAGACGTCCATTCCGTCCACAGTCACCCAGACAAAGCCCTCTCCTTGTCCAACCCTTTCCACGCACACACTGTCTGACACAACACCTATCGCCGTTGTTCCCGAGTAGTCCTTTACAAGTAAACTTAACGCACTCACTTGCCCCCTCCCCACTTCCGAAAGCACAAGTAGGTCTAGGCCTCTCTCCCTAGCCGTGTGGATGGCTAGATCGAGTGCTTCTCTGCGATTATGCAAATTCACTTGCAGCACACTAGTCATTTTTAGTTGT